TTATTACTTTGTCACCCTTTTTGAAAAAAATCATAGCATATTAACTTGAATTTCTGTTGCTGCCCTAGATTGAAATTGCTCTTTCTTGCTTTCAGTCACTTAATTGCACGGCCAAATACAACTGATTCTTTAAAAAAAAAAAAAAAAAAGACTTGCAGTGGCATCTTCATATCAAATATACTGTAGTATTCTTTCCTGATTGGATGGATATAACCAGGCACCTAATTCTGGAAGTAAAATAAGCACCAGAGAGAAAAACAATATCAAGATGTTACTGTAAAAAAAAAAAAAAACCAAAAACCAGTAGTATTGGATTAGTTTGAACATAGAATGACTGTTGAAAGTATTTGTCATGCATAATTTCCAATCTCTTCAAGTATACAAGAATAAATATTTAAGCTGATGAATATTCAGTGTATCTCTGTTCCAAAGCAAGTATGCTTAGGATTTCACTACCTTCTACTTTAAATATTAAACATAACATTATAACTTTTTGGGAACAGCAAACATTTGGTTTTGTTTGCACAACATACAAATGTAGGTTAGTTTTTAGTTTTTTTTTTTTTTTTTTTTTTAATGATTCTGTGGGTGCAGATCTATCCAATATAAATTACTCTCCAGTAATTTATGGTTTACTGAAGTCAACCGAGATAATTGAATAAACTGCTAAAATTAACCTATCTTAGTATGTTATGCAAATTCTGCCATTAGCTCATTGATAACCATGTAACCTGTTCCAATGTCACCGTAAGAATTTTAGGCTAGATATAGATAAATGCTGTCTTTTTCATTTTCACATTCTTAGGATTCGAAAGCTAGACCCATATTCTTCTATTCTGAAATGAAGCTAATACATTTCTTCGATAAGTTGAAGAAATTGTTAAGAGGAGCTCTGTCATTCTTCTCCAAAATGCACCTGGGCACTTTCAGAGATTTGTTTTTAGAGAAAACCTGCCTGTCTCTTTAAGAAAAGTTTGCCAGAAACACAATTACCCCCAAAACAGTGGTGCTGTTGGATAATAGGAAACTGGGCTCAGGAACTGAGGATCACTCTTCTTTGGAATTGGCTGAACTTGCCCTCCGTGTGTAAGCACAGGTGAATGTTTGATCCTCCGCTATCATGGGATTTGTAGGTGGCTGTTATGGTGAAGAACGTATTTTCACTTATAGCTACTGCAACAGACTCTATCCTTCCTAAGTTGATCACTTTTAGGGATGGTTTTTCACATCTTGGTAATATCCATATTAGTTATATGCCCTTTATGTCTGGCTACTCTTGAAAAATACTGTATACAGAAGTTGCAGCTGGTACAAAAGGTAGCATATTGATACATATCATAAATATGCATATTACTAACTGGTACAAGGAGCAATGACCACATGATGCCTGAATGGAAAGATTTGCACTGACTGCCACAATTTCAAGTGGTGTTAACTTGACCGCCTTGCATGGATTGGAGCTTGGCTACCTGAGAGGTTGTGTCCTCTGTTACACATCTGCTCAGCCAATAAGATCTGCAAGAATGGGCTTTTGAGGTCTGGTTTTCTGGCATGCAACTGAGGTCCTTCTTTGTCATTTCCTTGGGGGTTGCATTTGATCCCCACCCTCTCTGGCTTTATAAAATCATACACAGTGTCTCTTTTTGCAGAGTTTTAACTGATGATTAATTATAGTACTATTTTAATGTATATTTTTAAACTTGTGTATGCATGTACTGTATACTTAAACATTGTTAGCTTAAACATTGTTAGATAGGCATGAGATAAAAAAAATTTTTTAAAAAAAATTCTATGATTCTTAGTGTCCTGTTGCTCATAAGGAGCTGGAGTATGTTAATTATTTGATTCAAAGTTGGTCATATGGCAGCTATTCTTGCTTCAATTTCTTTTTTCATACCCGTCCCTTGTTTATCCATAGAGATAGAAGCAGGATTTTGCACACACATACATGCAATACCAATTAATTAGCTGCTTTCTATCTCTCCTCCCCATCCTTTGGATGGGTAGATTTACTGCATTTTGAGTAGCAGCTGGCAATAAATAGGCAGAAGTTCAACTAGCACAGCCAAAATTAGCAGCTCTCTGTCAAAACAGAACTATGCCAGTGGAATGTTTGCCTGTATTAGCAGAAGCAGGAAAACACACCTGAGTAGATAAAATGGTTCAAGCAAACTACAGAACCAGAATGGGACTATGATAAATTTTTACTAGTAGAACGTCTACCCAGCTTGAGTTCTTTCCATGGATATTTAAAGCAATGCAAGTTACTTAGTTCAGTGATTTTAATTGTGTAGTTTTCAGTAGATGGCAGCTAGAGGGAAGATAGAACTGATATAGAAAACCACTCAAATATGGGAAGTTAAATGTTTTGGAGCATGAGAACTAGGTGGGTCTTTTTTATTTTCACAGATTTGTTCACCGTTTTTGTTGTTTGTTTTTCCTTCTCTTCCTGCTTCTCATCCTCTCTTCCCATTAGGAAAACTTTTAGTCTCACTGGTAGCCTATCTCCAACCAAGAAAATAAACAATTGGCTCATGGAACAAATCAACCCAGAATTCTCACCCGAGATACAAATGACCAAATTACCCTACTTCAGACACATTATGCAAAGATGCAGCTCTCTGTAGAAGGCTGTAATGTTGGGAATGGTGGAAGGAAAGAGAAGAAGAGGGCAACCAGCAGCAAGGTAGATAGTTAAAGCAGTGATGAGTGCACTGTTAAAAGACCTGAAAGACCAGGTTAGGGATAGATTGTAATGGAGAAAATCTATGTGGTTGGTAAGAGTCAACAATGATTTGATGACATGTAATCAAGAATAAGAATAATGTAGCCTATCCCAAGTCTTGTAACCCACATGACTCCCCAGTGCATGAATAAAACACTCATTTCTGGCAGGCCATACTGCCTCCAGCTTAAGACCTCCTCCAAGAGAGAGGGAGAAACTTCAGCCATGACATAAAAGAAAACTTGTGCTTTGCAAAGTGGAATTACTTGGCAGAATAACTTTTTAAAATGAGTAGAATCTTGGAAAAACCACAATTTTTGAAAAGTTAGAGCTGAGTTGGAAATATACTTTGTTCTTACATTTTGTTTTTGGGTAGGCCAATCACCACCCATCACCAACATCTAGATTTCTGAATTTCTTTTCTACACAAATAATTCCCTATAAAGAAAAATTAAATATTTCTTCTCCGAATGACATACAGATCAAATATAGAGAGTGTGTCCTCACACTGAAGTTTTCCATATCAGAGGTGTTTTTTCCAGAAGTTTTTCCAGATGAGAGGTTTACAGTGCTCCTTCCCTACCCAAGAAGTCTGAGTCTTTTTTTTTTGTTAAACAAATTAAAAAGTGCCCTGAGGAACTTGCAAACAGTCAAGAAAAAAGAAACTCTAAAGGAAGCTAATGGAAGTTGAAAAAGAATAAAAGTAGATGATGGAAATGGGGATTAATATATGCAGATACCATTACACATATCTTTTTCCAGTAATCACTGACAATCAAATGCAAATATTCATGGGAAATGGTTCCATTCTAAATCTGATTGTTCTGCCAGAATATCTGCCCACCCATACACAAACACTGCAATTTTATTTGCTTTATTTGTATAATTGTTGATATTTTTGTAGGAACAAAGGACATGTGCAAATTAAGAACATGTGCAACTAATTACTGGAATTTATTCAAGTTCATTATTTTGAGTGGCAATTTGTTTTACTATGCACTGCATTTATTAAAAGGTACCTTGCTTTTGAGATGTTGCTTCAGCATAAAGTATCCACAACACAATGACAGTTGTGCTGTCCTGGAAATCAACTTAATTCATTGCTAATTATAATTCCCCTTTTTAATGGATATTTATTGTTCCTGATATGCCTGTATTCAGGAGATACCTATTCCATCAGGAACAGTAAAAGAAAAGCGATCAGAAATGCTGAGATACGCATGTAATTAGGCTGAGTGTTCAAAGTATTCCAGTGAAAGAAGTGATTTGCAAATAGTGATGAAACAAAGGCAAAGAAGTAGGTGGGGGTGACGAGAAAAGGGTCCAGATCAGTTGCTTTTGAATTAGTCAATCAATATATTGTGATGTTTGAAGCTGAGAGCCACATGGGAAAAAAAGATGGCATACCTGTTTCTCAAGCTAAGGTGGGAATGAAAATTATTCCATAAGCTCTAAAAAAGATGAAAAGGTGAGACGGTAGGGCTAATGAATCAATCAGGAACATTAGGATGCTCCTAATTAAGATCAAAAGGCACCTTGTGGTCAAATTACACTGAATAGTGAAAAGCATGAATTCAGAATAGGTATGGATGAAGTACTGAAACCACTCCAAATATGCTGCTGATAAAGACTTTTTAAAATCCACAAAATATTGTTGCTGTGTTACTTATGTATCTATATTTATTTATATACATCACATATTTATGTATATAATTTGCATCCTGCCTTTCTGCCCAGAGGCTACTCAGGGGAACTCTCTCTCTCTCTCTCTCTCTCATCCCTATCAATTCACTTAGAACTGAAACCTGGCTGAATATAAAGAGCTTGACCCTTTTCTAAAATCAGAAACAGCAGAGGCTGAGCTCATTTTGTGATGGACATTTCACAGCTTGCAAGCAAACATCCATATTACACATTTCATATGATCCAATATGTTTCAACAAATAAAATGTCTTTTACCTTTCTAGTAGTTCCATTTCCACATTTCTGAAATTCCTGAAGGAATTCGATAGAAATCTTCTGAAGTGTTTTTATAGCCACTTTGTTTTTTAAGGCCTATCACTGAACTTTTATAGTTTTTTCTTCCTTAATTTTTTTTTAGAAAACCACTGACATATTGTGGGTGTGACAGCCTAAGTTAATAATTCACTGCATGATAAACAGCTTGCTTTATTGAGAAATGTAAATAAATCGACTTCATTCAGCAACAAGAGTAGAAAAAGTAACTACATTTATTTATTTATACATACATACATACATACACATACATACATACCATTCCCATCATTACATGTTATGGTATGTGTAGCAGATAGCAGGTCACTTTGCTTTACTCCATCACTGGTCTTTCCATGCTACAAACTAGGATTGTAGCTCTCCTGTCCCTAAAGAAAAACATTGAAAGTCATAAGCAAACTGGGGATATTTTACCAATCACATTTTATCCTCCAGCCCCCCCTGCCCTTATGCAAATTCCTCTTTCGGTCCTCTCTTCTCAGCTACAGTGGGTATCCACAGGTAGGGCATGTGGGGACAAATGACAAAACATACTTGCATCATATGTTGGGATGCAGGCAAGTATGGTAGCATTTGTATGAAGTCATTACAGCTTGCAGCGGAATCCATTGTAAACTAAGACTATTTGCTTTTCTTCACTTTTTTTGTGCCTTCAAGTCAATCTTGACATCTGGCGACTGCCTGAACAAGTCCTTGGAGTTTTCTTGGCAAGATTTCATAAGTGCTTTGCCATTGCCTCCTTCCTAGGGCTGTGTGACTGGTCCAAGATCACTCAGCTGGCTTTGTGCTTAAGGTGGAACTAGAACTCCCAGTCTCCTGGTTTCTAGCCTGGTGTCTTAACCACTACACCAAACTGGCTCTCTTTTCTTCACATACTGCACTGTATATGATGGTAGCTGTACCCGTCCTACAGTAGAAGTTACACTAAAGGTAATATTGCAAGTGTAGTTGCATTCAGGTAATTCCTCAGGTATAATTGCTAGGTGCCATAATATGCAGGCTGAATTATCTATGTTTCAAGAAGCCAAAACTTTTTAATCTCCAGGGCATGTTCTCTGCAGGAACCTGCGCTTACAGAGTCCTAGAGCTTCAGTGAAAATAGAGAACTCAATGGAGTGCTGTTGTTTCTCAGTAATGTTCCAAGTAATTCTATATCATTTCTCTTGCTTTCTTGCCTCCTTTCTCCAAGTTCTGACACTTGTCTGTGTGTGTGCTTAATCAACCCAGGAAGAATCCTAGTTCTGGATATTGAAGCAGAGAGCATCTGGATTCCCCTCCCCCTCCAGAATCTCATCTGTCTTTAGCAAGACTGTCCTGGATAAAGTCTATTCCAACCTAAATAATTTGTAACTGAAAAAATGTTTTTGCTTGAAGATCATGATTTCCCTGTGCAAAAGGAGATGAAGCAGGGATGGAGGACAATGCCATCCCAATTCAGAGTAATAAACAGTAGGATTTTCAGATTCCATGGCTATAGTTGATGAATGTATGTGTCTTCTGGGTGCAGTCTGCCTTGAGAAGAGTTTGATTTCATGGCTTCCTAGACACTGAATGGATGGATGTCTGTACCCCATTCTTACATTTTAGGAAGCTCAGAGTTTCATTTAGATAGGATGTTCACTATCACCTTGGCCAAGTGCTGATCTGGCTATGCCTACTTTGTTATTTTTTAAATATACTTCATAGCATGAAGCCCCCAAACTGCTAGCATTGTTTAAAATATTTCTCAGCTTCTAAATGTGCAAAGAAATGTGCATATTTGGGAAAATATCTGTAGGAAAAAAACTGTATAATTTGGAAAAAAAAGCTACATTGGGAAAAGGAATTCACTGAAAATAATTACATTCAAAAATATTTAAGAAAGCTGAGTACAGACACAAATAACACACATAGGAAAGATGTATTCAGAATGAATATAACAACAGTAAAATAATAAATGCAGACTTTGGGGCAGCTTTCTTAAAAAATAATGTACAGAAAATTTGATGTAATAAATTAACATGGTTCTATTTTATTTATTCCTTGCTAATCCAAAAAACAAAACAATTATTTATGTATAATATTACATAGCTACATATGGATACATATTTTAAGGAAGAAAAACTATATAAGAAAAAAAATAAGAGTCCAGAGTTCTAAAATCTAACACTATTTAATCCAAGCATATTAAATATCTGTACTCCTTGGGTGGCTGGATAAGACAGTCCTTGTACTCTGGCTAATCTAGCTTGTTAATAATATATGTGAGAAGGGCCAGTCATTGATTATATGCTGATTACTAGTCAACAGTGTGACATGGCTCTTAAAATGCAAATGTAGTTTTAGACTGCATCAATATATAGTAGAGTTTTCAAATCTTGGAAAGAAAGAAGCCCTTTAGGGTATGAGCATTCTATACCTCTCCTAGTCCCTTGCTGATGTTGCTGTTGTGACATCAGCTTCCTGCAGGAATTGCATATTCAGCACCCACACAGGCTTTCTCCCTGCAGATAGTTACACTGAATGTATGATGCTATCATGCGGATGATGTCATGAAAATGAGCATTCACAGTGTTAAGCATTCTGGATGGGATAATACCTGAATGAGATTAACCTTCCATTTTCTTGCAGTTGTGAGACCAGCTTAAATACAGTGTTCCTTTCAGGGAAGACTGAGACAAAGTGGAATAGGTACAAAGAGGACAAAGAAAATGATAAGGGACAGGAAATTAAGGACATATCCCTAGTGCTAGATTGGCCCATCATAATTATGGGCCGCCAATCATTTCTGGAAGGCAGAAGTGGACAATATCATCCTCTCCTTGTCCCCAACACATAAAACATTTAAATTATTATTTTTCTTTCCCTAAACTACCCACTTTTCCACTGGGCTTTTTATATATATAACTCCATTAATGCACCATTGAAATACTGGCACATTTGGCTTTGATTGTTTTTTATCTAGCCCCAGGTAAACCAGTGAGATTTGGGAGCTGGTATAAAACCCCTCTATTTCAAGTGAGAGCAAAAACAAGGAATGAGCACACTGATGAATTTGCTAAAAAAAAGCAAGCAAGCAGTAAAGTAGGCAGAGAAATTAATAGAGAATAATTGAAAAACAAACTGGGTTTCAAACAAGTGATCTTTTGCATGTCAGAAGAATATTGTAACCACTACATTTTTGGAACACTCTTTGGTAACAATAGCTACAGTAGAGATCCAGAAGTCAGACTTGGCAAAATGCAAGAAAAGAACCTTTATTTTATAGCCAATTGTGTTTCTACATGTACATGTTTTGATGCTTTGACTTTGTAAAGTCTCTCTTTGTCTCTATTTAGAGCTGCCTGGGGAAAGGAAAATGATTGGCAAGTGCTTCTCTGGCACAAGAAGATGCATCCCAGTCTAGATAGAAATGTCTTCAGAAGGCTTCGAGTTCAGTGGCATCAGCCTAGGACAGGAGCAGGGCTGTAACAAAGCATTATGGAGCTGCCCTGTGTCTTACAAAGAGACACTGAGGAAACTGGATATGTTAGTCTTAAGGAAGGACAGTTGAAGGGAGGTACGATTTTACTGTTGAGGTACCTAAAAGAATATCATGCAGAAGAAGGTCAAGACTTGCTTTCCATCATTTCAGAATCCAGGCATGAAATAATGCATTTAAGCTAATGGAAGGCAGATTCTGGTTGAATGTTAGAAGTAATACCAGTTACATAATTAAACCAAGCCAGAGAGATGGTGAACTTACTCACCTGGGTGTGTTCAAGCGGAGACTGAACAGCTATTTGTGGGGGATGCTTTAAATTGGATTCCTGGATTGAACAGGTGGTTGAACGTAATGGCCACTTTCAACTCTAATTCTAAAACCATTCAGATAAATAGAAGTTAAAATTAGTCCTAATCAACTAGTTCCATTAATTTCAGTAGCTCTACTTTATATAGGATAATGTCCAGTCCAGTCCAGTCCAATTCTTTTATAATAACTTCCCTTTGGGTAATGTTTCTATCATTCTTTCCCACATTTTAGAAAGTCCACAAAATCATTTTTGACTGAGAAAGGCTTAATGCTTCTAAGTGCTTGTTTGCTGCTATTTATTACTGTTACTTTATATACAGTAGGGCAAAAAAAGTATTTAGTCAGCCACCAATTGTGCAAGTTCTCCCACTTAAAAAGATGAGAGAGGCCTGTA